TTACCATACCAATATCTTACTCAAATAAAGCAAGCTGGTTACTAGTTATGGGTATACAATATGAACTGTAACCTACACATTCCCCAAACTCATATTCCTTACTGAGAAATTATAAACAGGAAGAGCATGTAAGGGTCTGTCAAGTGATTTAACCCACAAATCTCTGCACAAATATAGTATACTTAGGTTATGACAAGCTTCAGACTCTGTTACTAGAATGGAGAAGTGGGGAAACAATCAGTTTTAGCTATGCCGATATTACATTTGGTGCAGAAACTAATCTTTATTAGGAATCTGGTTGGAGAGGTCAAAACCTGGCGAACTGGCTGGCTCAGCCCCTGTGAGGTAGTTCAGGCTAAAAGTCTGTGACTGATGCAAAGTCACCCGGCAAACTTCATGACTGAGTGGGGGACTAAAATCCATATTTCCCAAGTCCTAGTCCAGCATTCCTAACCACTGGCTCTCCACTATTATCTGTATAGTGTAGTAAAAATAGTTTTTAACTAGTGGGTGTTCTGAGTACAACATGTTAACAATACATTAAAAATATTGCCATTATCAACTCCAAACTGCTATGTAGAGACCGTTCAGTGTAAGCACAAATCAATTTTCTTTGCTTGATTAACATTTTAACAATCATTATGAACGCATTCCGTGATTTAACAAGGAATTTTATGTTGCTGTTATTAACATGTGCCATCAAGTTGTCTCCAACTTATGGCAAACAAATGAATAAGAACCCTCAAAAATGTCCTATCCATGACTTATCTACATAGCTGCTCATGTTAAGTTCGACTCAGTGTAATTATGGTATTAAGGTGTGTTGGTTCAATATTTTGTTCCTATATTTAGGTTTTATAGTTTTTTGAGAGGAGAGGAGGGGAGGCGAGGGCTGCACTTAAATGCTTTTAAGTACCTTTTGATTTCATAGAACTCCATGCAGGCCACTCAGAATCCATATGTTTGATGGACAGAGAACACAGAGAACTCTACCTGTTTAGGACCAACAGCCTGAACGGCAGTGCAGATTTTGGCACAGTGTAACTTGCATATTGTTTAAACAACATGCAGCAAACTGCGACTAGTAAACACAGTAAGCTTATGCTACAATTCTATTTTCTTTTGAAATTACTAATTTTCAGTTGTTTGAACTTAAGTCGGCCACTGGCAGTAATACGATAAGCTGATAAGCACTGAGTTCAGTAAGGTCTTCCATGTTTCAAATCCTTAAACAATGTTGCCATTAACACCATTTTTGCCATTTGCCAAATGAAACCACAGTCTGAAGAGCAATTTTGAAATGTGCTTCAAAGATTAGATCTTGCCTACACCTACCACATGCAGCTTTTAAAGGTATACTTTTTACTGTGTATATTGCCAGAGCTATAAAATCTATCCCAGCTCAAAAAAGGCTAATAGTTGCTAAATGCTACTAAGACTTTTGAAGCAGCCATGAGAGACTGATAGAACAGAGAGAGATCTTAGGCCAAGCAAGATTGCCAAGAGTAATTTTACTTTCTTCATCTGATTTGGATGTGGCAGATTTGCTCTGTATGTACACTCAAAAGCTTCCCAATTAAACAACAAGGATATTCTTCCCTCAATCTGTAAGTGCAATCATATGCCAAGCACAGAAAGTTTCCAAGGATGAATATTTCCACTAAATGAATTCACCAGTTCTTTAAGAATACTGACAATGCTTCAACAGTCTTTTAACAAGTGACAGTGGAATATACAGACCCTCAAATCTCATACAACATAATGAAAACAAAATTCAAAAGCTTCCTGGGGCACTAAAAACTGCAAGTCTGCAAAGCTTATTTGTTTTTCTGAAATTTGTGCATTTTTCAGTATATAATCATTGTTAGATAAAACAAGATGACAGACACTGCTTTTCAATGCCCAGCAAAAACATCACCCTTACTGGAATATTGGCCTGGAGTTCAGAAAACAGCAAATGGAATTTGTTTGTGAGATGTGTCCTTTCACCTCTCTCCTAGAAAGTATGCTTGGCTCTTAATCAACAAGTAGCAACATCATTTTAACTATATAATAGCCAAAAAAAATCACAGATATTTCCATTCAAGAACAATTTACACAAGAACTATAGCAGTCTTATTCTTCTTAAATCCAGAACTTCACAAAAACAGAACACGCATGGAATTCTAGCGTTTGAGCTGCTTATACTTGGTAATGAAACATTTGGGATTTTGACTTTGGACTGTAACCACATAAATGTACCCCACAGTCAAATTATTGCAGAAACATTTATATCAATATTGGAACAATTCTATGGTTTCCCAACATTGTCTGTGGGCAGAGGGCATAGGAAAAGGACTGCTCCAAATAAAACTGCTTGATGCCTCAGACTCTCCTCCTCACAGGGAGCAGGGGAAGATTTAGATCAGGGGTCCCCAAACTTTTTCATCGGGGGCCAGTGGAAAGGTGCCGGTGCTGGGTGCGGGCCGGAAAGGTGGTGCTGGTGGTGTGCGTGAGCTGGTGTGTGTGGGCGTGCGCCCTGAGGTGGGAGTGGGGAGCGCGGCGAGGGGAGGGGAGGCAAGGTGAGGCAAGGGCGGGCACTGAGTCATTTTAACAGTCATTTTAACTCTGCAATAGTTGCAATGGGACAACCTAGTTTAGGGCATTGTTCTGTTTACAGCACCTGATTAAACAAGCCTTCCCTGCTTGACTGGGTACAATGTTATTGTTTTGAAATGCTGGAATTCTGTATTTTGATTATGTTAAAAAACTTGCTGAAAAACCATGTTAGATATAGTGAGGTCTATAAAGCATACAAACTAATAAGTACCCCCATTTCTTTGCACCAAATTCTTTTTTTGAGGGGGAGAGGTGGGAAGTTGGGGTATAATAAATGTGCAGAGAACTGGCCTGTCATTCAAAAATCCATTTAGTTTTTCTCCAAATCATTTTCTGGTAGCTCTTCACAAAAGTGCTTCTTTTTTCCATTCCCCATACCTCCTGCTGCTATTAGGCAAATTCTCCATTCTTTGTCCCCACAAAGGACAACACTGTGCTATGGCTCATCCTAGAAATTTATTTTTAATATCAGGGCGGAACCCTGATCTTACACCCCACAAAAGTCCCTCCCTTTTGCTTGTTTCCCTAATTCAACCCCCTCTGGACCCTAACAAATGCATAGGCGGTATTTCTCTGCAGGTTTTGCTGCCACAAGTGTGTTTCCATGAAAGTTATAATTAGGCTTCCGTATGAACAATCTACTTTTAACCGTATTGTACAAGCAAGCCACAGTTGGAAGTCATGAGAACAAGAGACAAGGTCAAAACCTAAGGAATGCAGTGAGTGGGCTACAGTCAGTGGAAATACAGAAAACACATAAACCATTTGTGAATAAATTTGGGACATAGATGAAAACATGACCCAAATGTTCTCGCAAAGGTACAAGCAACTGCTAAAGGCAAAATAAGACGGAAAGCACTACATGCACATATGGGGCTCTCGGCATTACCTTATTTGATCCTCTGCCAGGGCAGAGCCTGGGAAAGAACAATTCCCTTCCCTATTCCCATATTTTACACTTTGAAAGAATCACTGTGGAAGTTTGAGAATAGTTGTAATTAGGTGATAATCACATGGGAAAAAGATAAAAGAGGTGACATCCTTCCAATTCTTAGACATCAGCCTACAGAGAAACAAGACAGGACAGAGTCAAATAGAAAATCATGATTTTCCACAGCAGCAGAAAAAGTCTTGAAAGGCAAAACTTCAGGACAATGACACCAATCCAAAGCTTGAACAGTAGAGCTAGTGAATGCTTCAAAATTCTCCATATACACTGACATTAAACTGAGACTCTGCAAAGGCAATTCAGTGATTAAATACTGATTTAACTCACAGATCCACTAGTAGCTTATGGGCCGCCTTGAAACAAATGTAATATAAATAAATAAATAGTACAGACCCAGTATGATATAGTGGTTACAGTACAAGGTTCAGACTCTGGAGATCTGGGTTTCAAGTTCTTACTCCACCATGAAGCTTATTGGATGACTTTGGGCCACGGGTACTCAGCCTGACCTACCTGACAGGTTTGCTATGAGAACGAAACAGGAAGGAGAATGACCATGTAAGCTTCCTTGGGTAAGAAGGTGAGCTACTGATATAATCATAGTAAACAGCTGCCAAAACAGCAAGCTAATGTTCTGACAACAACAGACATTGCTACTGTGTCTCCAAGAACCCTGCCACCACCTAAGCACAACACCAGTAATTGAGAATGACATCCCATTCCCATCTGTCCCACTGTAACCAGCCAATATTGGCATCTGTCAACACACTGAGAAAGTGAGAACAGCACACCACTGTTCCCACATCACGCCAGCTTTACACTATGCACACTCCCTAGAATGCACAACAGTACCTCCTGTACATCAGCTCTCTTATAACTGGTGAACCATTGTGTAGCATTCAGAAAGCACACATGTACATCACCAAGGATACTCAGGAAAAATATTTTATTCCCATTGGCTGAAATTAATCCACAGACTCAAAACTAAGACTGTACAAATGTAATACATGCATCCAGAAGGGAACACTTCTTCGTTTACCCCATCATCAAGGAAGAGAGAATGGAAACATAATCATCAAGAAGAATAAAAAGTTATACATTGTTGCTGTTCTTGTTCTCCTGTGAGCTGCCAAAAGAGCTCCAGGCTAAGGAACAGCATAACAATACAACAAACAAACAAACAAAGTGAACTCATTGGCTAATTGCCCATTACCATTGTGGAAAATGCACTGTAAACTAGAAATGTGCTCAAGTCCCATTTTGGGGAAACACAGTGTGACCTCTTCAAAGTAAAGCTTACTTTGCTGGGGATCCTTGTAGCAGGTTTTCGCTCAGCCCTGATGGGGTGTCACAGTGGAAAACCAACTGCTCTATCAGAGACACTCTCCAGGTAAATAACAAGGAGTGGTTGTGGTTTCCTATCGAAAAGCCACAGTGAGAAAAAACACAGAGCTGAAAGGCATCGCTTTTATTGAACATCATATGTTGTGGAACAAATTCTGAAAACAACTTGGATGAGAGGGGCCACCAACCCTTTATTTATGGAGAGGCTCCCGTGGTTTTAAAACTGTGCTTATACATGCTTAGCAACATTACATATGTGACATTTCAGTCCACCATGTATCCTGCAAAGGCACAGGAACCCGGGTGGAAGAAAAACCGGACAATTTCAGAGAAAACAGCTGGTTTCCCACATGGTCGATACTGCTGCTGCAGTTCTTGCAAAAGATCTGCATGCCATCGAGGATGGCATGGTGGGGGATATCTTGGCCTTTGTGACTATTAAGAGAATTCCTGGTTTCCTGTAGGGGAATGAGACAGATATGGAAATGAGTAATGGGAAGCAGCTGAAATAAATTTTAGTCACTCGTTTAGGTTAGTAAGAAAGAATATTGTTGCTAACGTGCTCTCCCATTGGCTTGACCTAGCTTTCCACTCTCGCCCTAGTACTATCCTACAGCCTGTGTGTGGCAGGTTCACATGTTAGGGATACTAAAGATAATAACCATGTAGTCTAGCATACTGCCCTGAAACGGCGTGTGCAATTTATAGTGGTCCTGTGCCACATGTCTTGGCTCATATCCTGCAAAAATGAGTCACAGTTGATTCTATTTATTTTATTCTATTGTACTTACATCCCAGTTTTTTCCTTCAAGGATCTTAAGGAAGCTTAAATTATTCTCCTCCTCCTCTCAACCTTATCCTCAGAAAAACCCTGGGAGATAGGTTAGGCTGAGAGTCTGTGACTGGCTCAAAGTCACCCAGTGAGCTTTGTGGCTGAGTAGAGACTAGCACTTGGTTTTCCTGAATCCCAGTCTGACATGCCAACCACTACACTATTCTGGCAGCACTACCTTCTGACTTTTGTTCTCCCACATAAGCCCCGCACAGACGGTAGGAACCTATCTGCAATTGGAGTGATGAGAGGGACCCCGTTTCTGCATAGCATACATGTACCCAGTGTCCTATGTGTCCACACAGCACCCCTGTCATGTGTTAAGAACTTTATTTCAGCCCTCAGTTAACACAAATGGCATGAAGGCACTCCGTGGCCATGTGAGACTAAGGGTTCTGCAGACCTGTCACTTTCCACTTGGTGACCTAGGAGCCAGGAGGTGCAGATCCTGTACCATGAAGCAGGATTGCCCCCTTTCCCTGACAAGTAAACCTGCCTTTGCTTACCTGTTGTGAGTGCCTTGTCCTTGCAGGCCCAGTTGCAACAACACAGTTCAGGAGACTGCTAGTTGTTTGTCCTAAGGCAAGGTACCTGCAAAGATTCTGAGAAGACAAATGTCATTGCCTTGCCATTCATGCCTTGCCTTGGCTGTTGGCCATTTGTGCAAACAAGTAAACATTCCTTTGCCCAGTCGCTATCTGTGTGGCTGCATTCTTTAGACTTGGAAGTGGAGTAATGTAGCGCTGAATCTCACATCTCGATATATGCAGTCTTTGCTTTCCGGCCGAGGCTTTTATCTATGTGGGGGCATGCTATGATTGGCTACATAGTTAGAATCCTGCCTTCCATTGTGTCTGAGACAAAAGAGCTGAACAGCTGTTTTAGTTTCTCCATTAATTCTGATGGAAGCATTTTTAACTTGCAAATACAACTTGTTTGCAGATAAAAAATGATACTCTCATCAGAGGCATGGCTAAATTATGAGCAAGCACAGGATTCCTACTATTACATTGCATATATTGTTTTTTTTCCTCCTGGAAGGAAGCCATGACAACTCACAAGGTTCTTCTCCTCTCCATTTTATCCTCAAAACAACAACCCTGTAGGCTGAGAGTGAGTGACCCGAATCATCCAGTTGGCTACACGGCAGAGTGGGAACCACAGAGTTGAAAACCACTGCTATGGAGCACATAATGAAACTCTGGGGGAAATGAAGAGCAGTGGTAACCCTAAAACCCAAAATGAATGTGTGCATGCTCCTCAACATTAGGCATCAGTGCACAGCAATCACCCCCACCCAAAATAAAGGCCAGATATCATCTGCTTTACAGCCATAAAGATTTAGAAACATAGAAACAGAGCGAGGCAGAAGGGACCTCCCGGGCCATCTAGTCTGACCCTTGGCTCCAGCTGGCTCCACTCACGACATGTCCACCATGTGCATGTCCAGCCTATCTTTGAACACCCTCACCTCTCGTGGAAGCCCATTCCACACCCTCAGGATCCTAACTGTCAGGAAGTGCAGAAGAGAAGCTGATTTAAATCAGGGCAGAAGAGAAGCCGATTTAATGAACTTCCAAGAAGAAAATGTCAATCCTATGGTCTTTAGGGTGCTAGTTATCATCATATCACCAGAAATGTGCAATTTCTTATTTCTCATTTTAGGTTTTAGTCTACTGTGGTAGGAATTCTTTTGGTCAATGGTCACTGTCCGATTGATTATATGCTTGTTTCTTTCCACTGAATAAAATGGTTTTTTTTTTTTTAAGTCTTTTTAACCCCCCCCCCCCCCACCAAATGTCTTCTTCTTCCAAATTCCTTTAGGGAAAAAAACCCCTACAACTCTGGACATATACCATTTTTACTATTAAAGTTAAACAGGATTATTTGCCATTGTGGCTTTAATCCAGAAGAACAAATAAAAGGATGTCTGGGAATCAGGAATGGAAATAATGCATTTCCTTTTAAGTTCTCTTTTTGGCAAGTGGAAGAACCTAAAAATGATCTACCCTTCCAGTAAAGATTGATCTTCATTGACCCTATATCAGGATGTAAACTTAACATACAGTAATTCTGTTTCTGCTTTGGGACATCAATACAGTTTTGTCTTAAGACAGACAGGTATTTAAGAAGTGTAGTGGAAAGAGTATGAGCATTTATCCTTTGTTCTGAAAAACAAATGCTTGAGAAAGCAACAAATCACTGTTCAGACTATTTCAGTCACACAATGTACCGTCTATTTCATGTGAAAGCAGCTTTATGTGGCACCATTTCAATGAACGTAAAATACTCTAACACCATGTTGATCATTTTTAAAATTAAGCAGGGGAAGTAATGGCTTTTCTGAAAGCTATTTGGAAAATAATATTTTAATATTATGTATATTTCATAAGATTTAATAAAAAGATGACAAAGTATTTATCACACTCTGTCCAACCTAACACATCTTGGGTTGCTTAGTAAGATTCCCAATGTAAGTTTGCTTAGTAATGTTCTCTTACCTGCATTTCATTTCAGTTATTTGTTCTATAGTTTAAGACTGGTAGTGTCTAATGAGATGTTTACATCAGACTGAATCCAGACTTGGCCTTTCATAGTCTAACAAAACACATTAGACCAGTCCTTTGTCAGCTGCATTAGCTCCCTGTTCTAGTTCAGGCCCAATTCAAAGTGTTGTTGTTGACATATAAAGCCCTCCAAATACTCCAGCTCCCAGTGAGATTAGGAAAATAGAGGTTAGGAGGGGGAAATTCTCTGCAGTGTGCCCAGACTTTGGGACTTGCTCCTTGGGGTATACAGCTGGTATTAACCTTGATTTCTTTCAGGCACCAGGTAAAATATTTGTTTCAACCCCATTTGGGTAAGTTATCATAGAATCATAGAATAGTAGAGTTGGAAGGGGCCATGGGGTCCAGCCCCCTGCTGTTGCAGGACACCACATTACGCCATCCCACTCAGATGGCTGTCCAGTTTCTTTTTGAATGTCTCTAGTGTGGAAGAGCCCACCACCTCTCTAGGCAGCTGGTTCCACTGCCATATTGCTCTGACAGTGAGGAAACTTTTCCTGATGTCTAGTCTGAATATGGGTTGTTGCAACTTGAATTGATTATTCTGTGTCCTACACTCTGGCATCAGCAAGAAGAGATCTTGACCTTCCCCTTTGTGACAGCCTTTGAGGTACTTATAGAGTGATACCATGTCCCCACCTCAGTCTTCTCTTCTCAAGGCTGAACATTTCCAGTTCTCTCAGTCTCTTCTCATAAGCAGTGTTTAATTTGTGTCTTCCTGTTGATTTATTTATTTAATTGTTTCATTTTAAGTGATTTGGCTGTATTTGGGCTGTGTTTGGGATATGATTCTGTATTATCTTTTATCACTTGTATAACAATTTACTAATTTCATTGTTTTTATCAGTTTTACTGATTGTACTTTTATATGTTGGTTCAGCATTTTGTAAGCTGCTCAGGGAACCCTCAGGTCATGGGGCGACAGAGAAGTAAAATTAAATAAATGAACAAACATCAAATCATCTTGACAAATTAAACATGCCTAAATTTCACTGATTACTCTAAACAATATTAAAAGCACAATCCCATATATATCTACTAACAAGAAAATATCACTCAGTTCAGTGCAGCTTATTTCCCAGCAAGTAAGAATGATATTGGAGCCCATGCCAGGATCAAAAAGAAAAACAAGAAAAAATCAAGGCAACAAATTAACAAATGATCAATCAATCAATCTGGCATATACAGAATGAAAAATAGAATTTCACAAACATTTCATGAATTTATATAAAAATGTTCACAGTCACAAAAAGAAAACAGCTTGTTGCATTTTAAAGTAAAAAAAGAAGTCTTTCATATAACAAACACATATGTTACAACTATGAATTGATCTGTATTGGTGGTCTAATGAAATCATGTAAAGAAAAAGAAAAATGGCATACTGCATTTCAGCCACTCTGCTAAATAAAGTGAAAGGGTTGTTGTCACATGAAAATTAAATGGAAATTAATTTTTATAAACAGTTTAAATGGACAGAAATAATTAAAATTGAAAATGAAAATAATATGTTTAAAATAATCAATGTCAAAAGTAAACTCACCACTTAAATATAATCGTCACACCCATGGTGTTCATTATACATGAAGAATTTCTCATTCTATTTTCTCTAAAGGTGCATTAAGCTGATTGCTTTCAGGTTTTGCAGCTGTGATATGTGCCATATGAATTAGCAAAGTGTTTGTAAAATCCATTTATTTATATATTGCAACTGATTGGTGATAGTATGTCTGGATCTGAACCATTACAACTTGTTTATTTATTTATTTAGAATATTTATATGCCGACCTTTTGCAGTTCCTCAGGACGGCTTATATAAATAAATAAAAAGAATAATAAAAACATAATACAAATAAATTCCAGATCCACCCTGGCTGCAGATTAAAACATAAATAGCTAATATTAAAAGTTATTAAAATATTGTTGAAATAAAAAGGTCTTAGCCTGGCGCCGAAAAACAATAATGACGGCGCCAGGTGGACCTCTCTGGGAAGCACATTCCATAGGTGGGGCGCCACCGCAGAGAAAGCCCTCCTCCAGGTACTTTGCCTCCTAATATCTTTCCCGAAGGGTTCCCGGAGGAGGGCCTCTGCTGCCAATCTCAGGGGATGGGAGGGCAAATATGGAAGAAGGCGTTCCTTTAGGTATCCAGTTCCCAAGCCATTTAGGGCTTTATAGGTAATAACCAGCACCTTGAATTGAGCCTGGACTTCGATGGGAAGCCAGTGAAACTGGTAGAGGACTGGGGTTATATGAGAATAACGCCCAGTCCCCGACAGCAACCTGGCTGCTCTATTTCGCACCATCTGAAGTATCCGGACTATCTTCAAGGGCAGCCCCACATACAGCGCGTTACAGAAATCCAACCAGGAAGTAACCAATGCATGTGTCACTGTCGCTAGGCAATCGTCCTCCAGGTAGGGATGCAGCTGATGGATTAACCAAAGCTGAAGGAAAGCACTCCTCACCACTGCAGTCACCTGAGCTTCCAGGGACAGCTCTGGGTCAAGGAGCACTCCCAAGCTGCAGACCCTGTCCTTTAGAGGGAGTGCAACCCCATTCAGGGCAAAGTCCAAGTCACCTACCCAGAAGCTCGAACCACCCACCAACAGGACCTCCGTCTTGTCTGGATTGAGTTTCAGTTATTAGCCCTCATCCAGCCCATTACCTCAGCCAGGTACCGGTTCAGTACAGCCACTGCCTCACCTGGATCGGTTGAAAAAGAGAGGTAGAGCTGGGTGTTATCAGTATACTGATGATTCCACAGCCCAAACCTCCTGATGACCTCTCCCAGCAGTTTCATGTAGATATTGAATAGCAAGGGGGACAAAATGGACCCTGCGGTACTCCATGGCATAGCTGTCATGGCACAGAGCCAAAGTCCCCCAGCACCACTTTGAAAAACATTCTGATTATACAAGTTATTTAACTTGCTCAGGTGAATAGGAATGAAGCAATATTTTTCTTCCTATATTGGCAAAGCAAGTTCATTTCCAGTAAGTGTTCCTCGTGGAATGGAAATGGGATGGATTTTTAGTTTCTAAGAATTTCACATTTCCTGGATTTGAATCTGGCTACTAATAATTTAGTTGGCCTTTGCACATGATTTTTGCAATGATAAGACGAAGTACCTTCCTGTAAACATGCTGAACAAAATGTTGCCAATCTGGAATGTTTGTAAAGCTATACACCAGCCCAAACACATACATAGCTGAATTTCTACTTACCTGATCCCACAGTAAATCATACAGAGTGCTACATAATAGTTACACTACAAACCACAGGCAAGCAGGCAACAACACAACTGAAACAAGAGATATAATACCCTTTTGGCCAGAGAAGAACATCCAAATGTTCTGTCCTGCCAATGGAATTTGAGTTAAGTGTATTTCAGAGTTTATTTTCAATGCACACCTCATTCATGGCCTCTATACAACGGAGACTCTTGTGACTCTGTGGACTGAACAGTGCAATAATAAAACAGTCATACCAAAAGAAAAGCACAGGGGTTTGTTCACACTTATTTCATCTAGCAGATGTTCATTTAATTAACACACTTATCTGTCTAAACAGTTAAAAGGCAGCTAACAAAGAAATGCAATATAAAAATACAATATGATTAAATAAAGGTACAGTCAAGGTATAGTAACACATTACAAATTAATTAAGAAACATAGATGCAAAACCAGAATAGAAACTAACGCTAGTAAAAAGCCTTCAACCAAACGTCACCAAGATTGCAACCCCGTGGTCTGCACAAAGGCATTGCAAGAGTCACAGAATGTTTCAGATCTCTCCCTCCAAGGGGGAATAGAGAGGTC